TCTTATTTTTGTTAAAGAATGATGCCCAAAGACAGATCTCAGTATTCTTACAGAGATTATATTTTATTTCCTTGTTCTTCATTATTACTAGACCTTCAGAATTAAGAAAATTTAAATGACAAAATTGATTTGTAATAGGTAAACTGTACTGTCAACATATCCTCACATTTATAAGACCTGAAAATGTTTTCTTATTCAGTATTTCTTGAGAAAGGCTTACTACGTTAGGCCGATTGTCTCATTTACTAATAAGCATTCAAAACTCTCGTTCTACTATATTCAAATTCCTCCTTTCCCTTCAACTTGTGACCATGTTATCAGCCTACTCTATTTTTCACTGCCCTTATGTTTTTGCCTCAAGCTTTAACTGATTCTGTTCTTTGATTTCCTTACCCTGGTGTAGATTCCTTTTTAACTACAGATCTTAAAAGCGACACTAGCTGCTTTTTGTTCCTTGGGAGTTTTTTGGTGGTTTTTTTTTCCCTCTTCAGGATAATTATATTCTGTTGTGCCTTTTATTATCGTGTCTTTTAGGATCTTCTAACCTTGTACACTCTTGGGCTTTATTTAATAGTGAGCTCCCTCCTCCACTCTCCATGCTAAACCATGCTCATTAGGTTTCTTAATCCTCCATAATTTGCTTTCATGAAATCTTATACCTTTCAGTGGCTGTGTTCTATGAGCCCATTTCCTTAGTATGGCTATTCCAAGCAGCCCAGAATCAACAAGCACTAAACATAAGCTTATTCACTTTCTAGGGCAACACTCTAGTCATGTTGGCTCGGGGGGCGGGGGGGAAGATCTTTGTTTTGAATGTTTATGGACCATGAAACTATACCATTTAACTTGGTATTTCATTTTCTCACCCAAACAATGGCCTGAGAAGGTTAGGATCACAGAATCAGATGCCAACCAGTCCTTAAAATACAGTAATAGGCTTCAGATTTTTCTTGGTCAGAAAACTATTCTATTTTAATAGAAGTAACAATATCCTGATGTTATGTAGTGACTAGTAAATTCCAGCTCTTTCTTTGTGTTATGCTCAGAATTCAGAAGAGAAAAACATCTTTTTTCAGTTCTTCTGTAAGAGCCCTGCTTTTCCAAATGGGTTGTTTTTAAAAGACATGTGCATGTTCTTGAACTGCGACGACACAGCCAACTCTGGTCTTTTCAGCAGTTCAGCCTCTGCTTTCTCTTCCATTCTACTCATCACTAGTACCTTTGCTGACAAGTATGAACAAAAGGGCCAAGAGGGCGCATATTTTGTTTTTTGTTTTTAACTTCTTAGGGACTTTGGTTAAATTAAATCAAAACAAAACAAACAAACAAAAAAACATACTAGTGAGTTGAAAGAGTTAATGAAGTTTCCAAAGGTGCCCAGCTTATCCAAGCAAAGTTTACACTTCAACCCTGCACAAGTTAACTTGTGATCCTCCCCATCCAGATGATAGAAAGCAAAGCCAGTAAGTTCTTTATTTAATTGGTTTGCATCCACACACTGACCTCCAAGGCTCTGTTTACATAGCCTATCATGCAATATGCTCCCCAGTTCTCTGCCTCTTTCAAAAGCATGTTTCTCCTGAGATTTGATATATGGCTTTCATGTTTAATCACTACATTAAACTCAATGCTCTGCTTCCTCCAGCATCAACTAACTTCCCTTCTTGGGAGGTGGGGAGAAGAGCACAGCTTCTTGCTCCTTCTGAACATAAAAGGAAGTCTGTTTTACTCTATTAGTAAAATCACCAACTACACACAATCGTCGGCAAGCAACGTTAATACGTCAACTAGGAAACAGTCCTAAAATGAAAACCTTAAAACTCCTTTAGAAAGAAGATAGGCTGATTGTTCTCAATTAGCAAAGCCAAAAACTTTAAGTGATTGAGTTATACTAAACCAACAGAAACGGAGTTTAATCAATATAACTCAGTACATAGAGGACACGCTTAAATAGTAACTAAAGTTTTAATCAAATTAGTAGAGGACAGAACATTTCTTTGGGTTCTCAGGTCAGAATTAATTTAGCACCTCTGCCTTCTGGTTGAAGGTTTTCTTAACCTTCACCACAAACAGAACGTTCAGCATTTCTAACTGAATGTACACATGGTAATGTCACAATCCTTTCCATAAGAATTTGTATGTGACCCAAATTTCTGCGATTGATGAAAACCTCAAAAAATTAATTGACCTCTTTCAATAAATCAAGATACTCTTATCATTTTCAGGTTTTAAAAAAACCACAAGATGTACGTAATTTACTTTAAAATATTTCAAGCAAAAAAAGAAAAGTGAAACAAATATGGAAAATTCTTAACAGTAAAATCTAGATGATGGAAATACAGGTGCTCATTATACTGTACCCTCTACTTTTATACATAGTTGAAAATTTTCATTATAAAAATTTTTTTGAAACAAAAAAAACCACAAAGGAGTCGATGGATTTGCTTCTGAAGAAAAAAAAGGACATAATTTTGATAAGAAAAAATTTAAATCACTTTCTAGGTTTTGATATATATTCAACAACTGACATTTTTTACCATGTGCTGACAATGAAAACTTGCCTTCCTTCCTCCTAAATCTCATGCCACAGCCTGAAGATCATTTACACAAACTGCAAATGTGTGGTAAGCTCTGCATAAGTTGGATTCTTTACTTGAAAAGAAAATTTTGTGTGTATGTGTGTGTGTGTGTGTGTGTGTGTGTGTGTGTGTGTGTGTGTATATATATATATATATATATATATATATATATATATATATGGTGTGTTTTTTTGTTTTTTACTTTGAAATACTTTCCCTTTTGGCTAGTAATTGACCACAGTATTTATTTTTTAAGGGTTTTTAATTTTTTTTTCCTTAGTAAGATTGGCATCTTCATTTAAAAATCTTAATTTGTCAGGAACACTGCTACAGCTGTATACAACATTAAACAGAGTTAGTTTACTTTCTGTATTTGATGAACAATAGAGAATCTGAACCTATTAAAGTCATACATTTAATTGTTTCAATATGCTACCTTATTCCTAACCAAAATTTGCATGATATAGAATGCCAAAGCTATCTTTGTTATGATTCTCTCATTTGATAGTAAGCTAAGGATTTATAAGAAAAAAGTAACTATCTGTTTCTTGAAACCATCTAAATTCTTTCCACAACAATTTAAATTCAAAATTTTAAAAAATAAACTTGTAATCAGTAGTCACCATTTTTCACAGTACAGAACTTTATAGTTTTCAAAGACATGCAGATGTTCTCCATGATAGACATTAAAAAAGAAATAGGACTTGGAAAAAATAAGAATCATGAACAAAATCTTTGCTCACTAGAGTGAAAGATGTGTGTCTGTACAGATGTTATAACTATTTTCATAATAAATACTAACCTTCACTACATGAATTTAGCAGCACACTTTAATTTGGATTTGAAAATTTAACATAAATTTTCCAACTTTGACAATAGCTGCCCAATATTTCAGTTTTGTACGCTATTTCCAGGTTTACCTTCAAAATGAACCTAGTGGACGTTTTCATTTTTAAAAGTTATATTCCAGATCCTGTAGCCTAAACAACTAGTTTCTGACTTGATGTTTAAGGGAATTAAATCAGATTATAACAAAGTGGGTTCCTAATAAACATTTAGTGACTGACTGGCAATGATAAAAAAAGACATGCAATTTTTATGTAAAAATTCATTTTCCAAATATTTTATTCATTTATTTTTATTACACTTAAAGACTTTAACTATTAAAAATGACAAGGATTTTCCACCCTATTTTGAGCCACCTTGTATGAATCAATAAAAAAGTCAAATAGCTGATACAATGCCACCATGCTTTTAGGCTCCATATAGTCAATATTGTAAATTAGAAATGTTTATCTTATCCTATCACTGTTACATATGATTCAGAAGCCCAAGAATGCACAGCATGGAAAGATTTCTGGAACCACAGTTCTCAAATTAGGTGAAATTGTTAACTCAAATGTACAGACTGCATATTTAAAGAGTCTCATGAAGTTGGAGAAATTCATAAATCTATACAATAAAAGAAAGACGGGGCTTCTCACGAAGGAAAGCCTGTTGGCTCCTTAACACCACTATCAAAAAATATATACAGTCTTGGTTCCTTTGTGAACATAATAAACAAGAACTTTTTTTAAAGTTAAAACATAATGGAACTCAAACCAGAGTAAATGTTACTTTTAAATTCAGTAAGTTACATATTTTCCTGTAAAATATTTTCTCCTGGAATTAAAAATTAATGTTTATTTATCTATTAACAGTTCGCTAAAGAGCATTATTCCTTTGTACCATACATAAGGTAATTTTCCGCTTTAATTGTAAACCCCAACAGAAACTCAGAAACTCACAAATCTCAGCAAGAGACACAGAGATACAGTCAAACATGAGGATTCTGTGACTACATTCATGCTTAATAAGAAAACATCTAATGAGGCTGATAAGCCAGTGTTTGTGAGAATGTAAATTTTGTGTCAATAAATATAAAATGGCTTAAGGTGACCTTAATTGTCCAGCACCCCCCCCAACAAAACAAATGAAAAATAACTAATAAGTCACAGACAGATAACTATTTCGATTGGCTAAAACTCTCTATCGTTTGCTGGATGAAATGTATCTACTACCCACATTTGATTACAAGTCACTTGCAGGGAATCTTTAAATTATTCAGGATGCTTTGTTCACTGAGAGAATGATATTCTATTTTGAGCAATGATTGTGTACACCCCCCACCACTGCTTTTAAAATAAAACTGCAGATAGAGAGCCTTTAATGCTTATTGCAGAAGCATCAAGAATCCCAGAGTGAACATCTCAAGTTATGATTCCAAGCAGCTAATAGCCCTGCTTTGAGGTGGGGTTCATGTTTTGAAAAGAGACTGCCTCGTCTGTTTAAAATCAAAATGGTTCTTGATCTGATGAATTACTCCTCAGAGAATAATGTAAATAAAATATACTCAGAATAACATTATTAATGTAAACATACCTGAACCAGAGTCAAATTTGGTTTCTGACCTGCAAAGGGAAAGACATTTTTTTTACAATATAAAAATTGCTTGTTAAACAATAACTGTTATTTTATGGGGGGTGGGGAGATGCAATAGTTGTAGATTTCAGTACATTGGTCAACACATAAAATAGCTTTTTAAAATGTAAATAGATACTTATTTTAACCATTTTAAAAGCATGCATTACCCTACATCCCCTAAACATGCACATATCCAGAGAGACAGCAGAGTATGGAAAAGATATTAACTTTTTAGCTTGTTTTTGAAAGAGGGTAAATTGTGTTAAAAAAATAATAATAATGCACCCAATCTCTACAGATTAACTTGTTTCAGTAATATAACAAACCAATTTAAAAAAAAAAACCTTAAATTTAAAACTATCCTCTTATTATTAAAGATTTTCAAGTATTAAAGACATTCAACGCCAAGTAATTTTTCACAAAGTTCTTCACAGAGTAAATGAACCTAGTAACCCCATACATTTAATAAGCAGGAGAAAAAAAAAATCTGAGCCCTTGTGGGAACATTATGTTTCAGATATAGGTTAATACTGGTTGTAAATTCAGAAGCCTTTGAAGCTCTCAGTTCGGCTGTGGGAAAACTTCTGTTGGGTAATTACTCTCAAGATGCGGCTGATGTGCTGTCAAGCAGAATTAACCCCGAGACTAGGCCTATCTACACAAGCTACTCTAAGACAGCATTGTCTATATCTAGCTCTCAAACCAATTAGCGGGCATGCTGCAGTCGGATTTATATCACACATTAACAATCAATAGTATATATGTTCACAGCTGCCACCCCAAGATACAAGAGCCAACCAGCAGGAGTCCTGTTAAAGGATGTTACATTGACAGAGAAGACTTTTTTTTTTTTTTTTCCTGGGGAAATGTAGTTAACTAAGTGGGAAAGGAGATTTCTTTGAAATTATGCCAGGGTACCAAAGCACTTTGGGAAGCGGTGGCTTTCTTTACCTAAATGAGCTTCAAGAGAAGTCATCAAAGGAGGGAGAGGGGAAGGATAAGCAAGAAGCAGCTTCCCTTGTCATAAAAATTCATTTTCTCAAGGATTCCCAGATAAAGTTTCACCTGAGGCTTCAATAAATTCAACTAATCGTAAGAACAAAAAAACTATTGTTCTGCCCATGGTTGTGAATAATCACTGCTGTAAGCCAGGTCCACATTTTTCCCACACCCTAGGCCCACCACAATCCTCATCTCAATCCTTCTCGTAGATGTCCTTGGCTCCTATTTCAGGAGCAAACCATTTTCACTTTTTTGTCCTCTCTCTTGTTCTGGAAGCCTTGCCTCATGCCTCAGTCTTTGTTTCCAGCATCCCTGAGCGTAACTCTAGATGACACTGACAGCATGTCCTGCTGGTTTCCTTGCCTATCTCATCTTTCCCGCTGGACTAGGCCTCTTCACCTCTGTAGCCACAGCACCTACCCAGTGCTGACAGCTTGAACTCATCAACTGTCTGTCAAGGGGAACTTCTGCCTCCACACACATCTTTATCTCCTTCTTACCTGTATAAGAGGTGTTCTTCCTTCTGTGTAAGGTTCCCTCCACTTATGTCCTAAAATACATTCTCGTCTCCCCTGAAACCAGGCTGTATGAATTACTCCTCTCTGCCGTATCTTCAGCACTGGGGTCTCCCCAGGTTTCTCCTGTCTTCTCCAGAATTAAATAAAGGCCCTTCTTCAAATCTGTGCCCTGCTCTTGTTAGCCGTCTTTCTTCTTGGCTTTACAATCAAGTTTACTGAAAGGATAGACTACATCCTATAGTGTATGCCTTCCTTTCCTGACCTCCCAACATATTCACTCTTAGAACCACTACGATCTGTCCTTGTTAAGGTTTTTCAGTGGCTTCCTAGTGCTAAATCCAAAACCCCTGTTAATAGTCTTTATTTTACTAAACTCTCTCCACCTAACACACAATGCTACCTGAATGTCACATCATGACTTCAAATGCCACATGTACCACGCTGAATTCATTTTCTTTTCCCTCAAATATAATGTTCCTGCTATATTCCCTATCATTTAAGTTGGATATCATGACATTATTCTAGTCTTCTCCTGCACCCCCAATATCGAATTAGTCACCAAGACCTATTGATTCTACTACCTTCCCCTCCTCTCGAGCCTCACTCTTACCATCTTAAGGCCTATCTTTGACTCAATAATCTCATAACCAGTATCCCCCCGTCCCCCCTTCATTCCATCATTACAGTAGCCAGATGTTTCCAAAGCACGAATCTGATCACATTACCACCACCCCGACAACTAGAGAAGAGTTTTCCAAACTTGGGTTACAAGTTGACCCATGAGTGGGTTATAAAATCAATTTAGTAGACTGTAAGCTAGTATATTTTAAAAACTGAAATAAAACAGAAGACAGAATGAACTTCACATATTGAGAATATATGCATTTTTGTACAACTTTTAGATATATATACATGCATGTGTGTGTATGAGAGTGTGTGTGTATGTGTGTGTGTCTGTGTGTGTGTGTGTGTTCCCAAATGTGTGTACTGGCCAGTACTACACTTACAAGTGAGTAAAGGCCTCTGTCTAGCCTTCCTCTGGCTGCACCCCCCTCTCCACCAGGCAAGGAGTCCAGTCTTCTACCTGAAGCCCCAAGTCCCCGGGTCTCCAGCATTCTCTGCCCGGATGGCCCTGAGCTGGCCTCCTTGGCCTACGTGGGCCCTTCCTTCAGGTCAGGTTGTGCTACTGCTATGTATGTACCTCCAGCCCAAGGCGTGGACAAAGGCCGTAACTTGAAGGAAGGAGCTTGGACCCGAGGGCAAAAGGAAGGGGGAATAAACAGGGCCAGGCAATCTGCTTTCCCTAGTCTTCTGGTTCCTGCTCAGAGAATGCTTCATTCAAGCCCTCCTGTGAGAGTGGGGAGCTGACAGTACCTAGGGGCCAGAGGGTGCCCCTTGGACCAGACTGGTGTGGTCTAGACGGCCTTGAAATTCAGGTGCCTGGCTGGTGGGGATAAAAAGAGGCGATAGGCAGGAGGACAGAACCTCTGGCAGAAATGAAAGAGCCCCGCCCCCAATAAAGACAAGAAAGGTGCTTCTCTTATGAATTCCATAATCCATTTGGAATAGTTGTTGTCCCTGCATTTCCCCAGGATTAATAACAGCATTCGGATGGAAGTCACAATTAAATCTGTACTGGCACCTCAACTAGACTGTGGCGGAAAGCCAATCACTTGGGTGCAGCAAAGACTTAACGTACTACTGGAGAAGGAGGATGGGGAGATGGTAAATGTTAGGTGTGTATTCCTCACATTCTATGGGCATTTTGCCTTCTAAGATTTAGTGACTAGAAATTCCATTCCATCACTAAATCTATATCCAGTTCTCTTGAATTTTCAGTTTTCTCAAAATAAAGATTAATGCCTCATTTAAAAAGAAAATTAAATCTGCACTGTTTTCAGTTATTTGGCATCAATGGTTTTACACAGTCTTCATTGTTTTTGCTATAAAGTGTGTATATATATATATATATATATATATGTGTGTGTGTGTGTGTGTGTGTATCTGTCAAGGTAGATTGGTATATCCTTTTCTAACAGTTTATGGCCTTCACTGATAACTTTTAAAATAATTAGCTATATTGTATCCCCATTTGTCCTCTTGCCCAGGCCCTGCAAATGTGAGGGCCAGGCCTGGTAATAAGCCATAATGTAAAAGGTATGTTTTTCTATGGGCCATGGAAAAAAGTTTGAAAGCTACTGACCTAGGGACCTCCAGGTGCACTGCTGTGCATGGTGCACGAGGGGCCCACCATGATCCAGCTCTCCAGCTTAGCCTCTAACCCACACTGAATCCTTCACTTTCACCACACCAAACTGCTGCCGTCTTATTTCATAGCCTGTATCCAGTATCCTCAGCCTCAGAATGCCCTTCCCACAGCTCATCACTGACAGGCTTTTACTCAACTGTCAAGACTCACTCACCTCAATCGACTCAGCGCCTGGCCTGCACCCCTCGCCTCCCAGAGCTCCTTGCTTAGCCCTCAGCTACTCTACAGTATGAGGCCTGGCATGGCACGTCCCACACCAGGCCGCCCCAGCACAAAGCCCAGCAAGGTACCCACTGGGTCGCATCCACCTTTATTCCCAGCACTTAGCACAGCACCTGGCATTTTAGAGTTATTAAAAATTTGTAATAGGAACACATGAGCAAATGAATCTATAAATTAACAGAAGGCCAAAACCAAGGCACAGCAGCCCAAAACGCTATAAAATGTCTCTTTTGAGATATGAAAAATCATATCAGAAAATTTTTATTTCTCACACCATCTTATCTTCTCCAGGGGTAGCTGGACAATGTGTAAATATACACATAAAGTACAGAGAAAACATCTTTACAAATAAATTAATGACCTTGTGTATCAGCTTAAAAACAAGAATATTCAGAATTCTCAGTCCCAAAGCTTCAAAAAACCCCCAACTACTCTATTAATAATGAAAACATAACAATAGAAGTTAATGCAGTCATTTTGAGGGGTAGGAAAAATTGGTCCTATGGTATAAGTTAATTCAGGTCTCTGTCAATCTACACACTTACATACACAGGGACACAAAATACTCCTCTATCATATTATGAACTCATCTCTACTCATAAATCCTCTTTAAGAGAGTAAGTAAAATATAGATTGGAACAAACAAATGGCAAGTGTAAAACAAAAAAAAAAGAATTCAAACAACACAGATTATACAAGAAAGGAAAAGAGTTCATTCATTCCAAATACATTTCTTATGTGTTTTTCAGTAGTCTATGCTGGATGGCAGGGATATGAAAAATGCATAAAGTCAGGTTATATGGAGTAAAGATGCATAAATATAATCGTGTTTCCATAAACACCCATTTTAACCCTTGATTACATACTTACATTTAAGCTTAAACCTAGTCAACCAGTTCTTTTGGCAATTACCAAAAGGTGGTAAATACAGCATAGACTACTACTGTCTTCCAATATCCATTCTCCCCATTTTTAT